TGCTGGCTGGCCTAGGTGGCCCCCGCTGTGTGACTGTGCTCCATGTGTCTGCCTGCCATCGCTATAGCCTGGGCGTACTCTCATGGCGATGGCAGCCGTGTAAAAGCAAAGCTTTCCCAGGTCTCTGGTTTATCACAGCTACGGACATCCCACTTGCCAGTCTAAGTCACTCGTAGGACGCAGGATGATGTGGGGGAAGGGAGACGCTGCCTCTGGAAGGGTGGCATTCCACAGCATGCCCCAGGGAGCCTCTGCTGGTGTGGGTCTTGGCCACCCCCTCCTCCTGGACTCCGAGGACTCCACCCCACCCTGCAGAGTCGTGGCCGAGGAGGGCCCCTGACATAGTCAGCTGTGGGGTGGCCTGCCCCTCTCCGCTCTGAGCCCCCTCAAAGGCACCCATTCTTCTTGCTGCCATTGGCCCCCTTGGTTCCCCTACAACTCAACCCTGAACCCCACCACACACGAGCCCCTGCGAAGGTCCTTTGAATACGGCACCAACAATCACACACCCAGACCAACAAACCAGCCCTGATCCTCATCTAAACCTGTCTGCACAGGGGTTTTCCAGATTCAAAGGTCCTTCACCCCCCAGTGCCCATATAACTTGGTGCCCTCAGGAGCCAGGATGTGTGGCGAGCGTGGGAACCGTGAAGGTGAGGTTGACAGGATGCCTATCTCCACACACAGATACAGTTATAGTGCCTCATGATAAACGTGTGCATAGAGAAAAGCATTACAAACAAGCGGATATGGGCTTGCTATAGGGAAAGAGAAAGGAAGATGATGCCTCCCCAGTCCCCACATTCAATGATGGCCACTGTTTAATATTGTGCTACATTTCCTTCCAGTCTTTTTCTCTACGCAGAGTGAACGTACAAGCATGCACAGTTGTGTATCCTGCCTGTCCCACTTAACAGTTAAAAAGTCCAAAGAGTGAAAGAGGCTACAGTAAAAATGTATCCCTTCTCTGACCCCAGCCCCTCCAAACTCCTCTCAGACTCAATCACTGTTCCCTGTTTACAGGGCAGCCTTCCAAAGGCAGCTGTGTGCAGGCAAGCACACTCACATATGCTCACACTTTTTAACACGAATGGTTTCATACTATACATACCGATTCAGTCAGAGTCTCCAGAGAAACAAAACCTATAGCGTGTGTGTGTGTGTGTGTGTGTGTGTGTCCAAATCAAGTTGACACACAAAATTAGCCATCACTCACATTTTTCTGCACCTTGCTTGTTTAAAAAACTAAACACTGTATCTTGTAAATCGTTCCATATTAGTAAGAGTAGAGCTACCTGATTCTTTTTATAATGACTGCATCTTGTACTGCTGAACATTTGTTTCTAATCATTTGCTATTTCAAAAATGCAACAAATATCCCTAGGATACAGCCTTCAATAGATATGCAAGTATAATGTATAAATTCTTAACAATAGAGTGAATGGAACAAATGATGTGTGCATTAAAATTTTTGATTGACGTGCCAAATTTCCTTCCACAGAAGCTGTATAAACTTCCCCTCCCACCACAATGCATGGGAGGGCCTCATGCCCTCACCTCGCCAGGAATGACTTCAAACATTTTGGGTTTGCCAATATGCTAGGAGGAAAATGGCCTCTCGGTGTAGTTTTATTCTGTGCTTTTCTTATTAGGTGTAGAGTTGGGCAATTTTTCATATGTCGAAGCCACTGTGTCTCCTTTTTTTGTAAATTATCATCCCATGTACTTTACTCATCTTTTCTATTGGTCGTTGAATTTTTCTATTATGGAAGTAAGCCCACTTCCTGTCTATGTGTTGCACGTATTTCCTCACTTTGGCATCATCTCTCTCATTTCATTTATGATGGGTTTTTCCATGAACGAATTTTCTATTTTTAATGAAACAGTCAAATGTAGTGATCTTTTCATTTATGGTTTCTGAGTTTTGTGCCTTGCTTAAAAAGAACTTTCTACAAGATTATTAAAACCTAAAATCTGGATTTTTTTTGTTGTTGTTATTTTTTGCTTTTGTTATTTTGGGTTTCAGCTTTGGTATAAGGAATGAGGTAGAGATCCAATTTTATTTTGTTTTCAGATTGTCACCTAATGGTGCAAATACCACTTACAGAATAATCCATCTTTCTCCCACTAATATGAAAAGCTGCCATTATTATTTTTAATTTTTATTGGGGAACAGTGTGTTTTTTCCAGGACTCATCAGCTCCAAGTCAAATAGTTGTTCCAATCTAGTTGTGGAGGGTGCAACTCAGTGACCCATGTGGGGATCGAACCGGCAACCTTGGTGTTATGAGCACTGTGCTCCAACCAACTGAGCTAACCAGCCGCCCCGAAAAGCTGCTATTATTTCAAATAATAATAATAGTAAAATAACTACCATTATCAGTGCATGCATTTGGGTTGACTTCTGGAACTACGTCCGGTGCCCTCGGTTGGTTCATCTCATCAACGTCTAGCAAATGCTGCTGCAAATACGAGAGCTTTGTTTATGCTCTGTATCCAGCAAGTTAGCCCCTCGTCCTTACTCTTCCTCTCTCAGTATTGTCTTGGCTCATTCTTGCAAATTCATTTTCCCATGTGACTCTCAGAATCAATTTATCTAGTTCCGAAGGAAGGGCATCTTGCTGGTGTTTTTACTGGGATGGTGTTAGATAAGGAAATTGATTTAGTAAGAAATGACATCCTGTCGAAGAACAGCCTGTGCCTTTCTCCCCGTTTGTCTGCCTCTGGGTCCCTCACAAAGGGTTTTTCTAATGTCCTTTTAAATTTTGTTTTCATATGGACATTGAACATTTCTAATTAAGAATATTCCAGGGAATTTTATCTATTTTGTTGCCATTGTGAATTAATCTTTTTTTTTCATTACAGTTTTCTAATTGTCATGCCTAAGTAGGAAGACTGGAAATCTCTTAAAAGGTTTTCATTTGGGTGGCTCGGATCTTCCAGCTGTATAATCCTGTCACCTACAAATAACAATAATTTAACTCCTCTTTTCAAATTTCATAGATTTTATTTCTTTCCTAATAATGTCAGCTAGGACTCCAAAGTGGGGGAGGAGGAGAAGGTTAAATAACAGAGCTGAGAGCAGACATCCAAGTCTTGCTTTTGTATTTAAAGAGATGTGCCTTTTGACTGCCAGTGCACAAAAGAGTCTACTGATTCCTCTTTGATTAAGGTTTTGTAAAAATTCAGAATGGATGTTGTATTTTACCAAATGCCTTTTTCATATCTATATAGATGATTGCATGATTTTTCCTTTGACCAATTAATATGATGAATTATATCAATAGCATTTTTACATGAGGCAATCTTGCATTCAGAGTGTTATAGGATATTCTTATTTTAATGTGCTGGTGGGTTCTGCTAATATTTTATTCAGGACTTCATACTGAAATTCACAGGTGAGACTGGTCTGTTATTTTCTTAGAAAAATCTTTGTCAGGTGTAGGCAGTTCTTCTCTCTTTTTTCTCCTGTGCTCTGGAATATTTAAGTTGCACTATGACTCCCTCTTTAAAAGTTTGGTAGAATTCTGTAATCCTGTGAACCTGCCTAAGCCTGGGATTTGAGCAGAGAAGTAGCTGTTTAACAAATTTCTCTATTTCCTCTCCAGTAATTGCTCTATTTAGACTTTTATTTTGTCTAATAGCAGTTTGACTAGTCATTTGTATTTTCCCAGAAAAACACCTCACCCTGTTTTTCCAATTTTTTTGGTGCAAAGTATCTTTTGTATTTCTTTTCACTTCCTGTTCCTGTGTCACTTAACACTCGCACAGCCAGTTTTCCACATTATTATAAATACTTCAAAACCATACACCCTCATGGTGACTTCAGAGCTCTCTGTGTGGCTGCGTATCATTCCACTGGTTTTCTTGGGTTTTGCTAAGCTAACGATGTCGTCCGTCCCCCAGCCCCACCGTGATGAATGTTACTCACCCACTCTTACCCACTCTCCTTGGGAGACTGGGCTGTTTGTAATGGTTGGCTCTCCTGATGAACATCTTTGTATATAAAACCTTTTCTGTATTTGGAATTATTTCCTCGGGCTAGATTTTCTGGATCAAAGCGTAAGCATGTTTTTTAGGCCAATTTACTTTCCAGAAGAGTTGCTTCACTTTGCATTCCCACTAGCAATCTAGGTTTCAAAACCTAGGTCAGAGCATGCTCCCCCCTCCCCCTAAAACACTCCAGGAACCCCAGCGCCTTCCCACTGCCAACAAGACCCCTTGGGCTGGCGTGCCCACCACTGGACTTCATCTCTCACCAGATAAATTCCCCCTTCCTCTGTCCCCCTACACTGGCCTTCTCTCTGTTCTTGAATATAATGAGCCTATTCTGGCCTCAGGACTTGGTGCTGGCTGCTCTCCCTGCCCAGGACACCCTCATCACAAACCTCTCCACAACAGGTGCCTTTCCATCATTCAGGTCTCTCAGCTCATGGGTCACCCTCTCAGAGTGGCCTTCCCTGACCACCAGGTAATGACCACCACCTTGCCCACAGCCACACACTATGGTCTGCGCCATCACTCCGTCTTACTGTCTTCCAGGCATCTGACGCTTCCTTAAATGACTGTACTTGTCTATTGCCAGTGTCCCCCATTGGACGAAAACCCCACAGGGGCAGGGACCCCAGTGTGTCCCCTGCATCTAGAACAGTGTGAATAATTTTTATTCACACCCAGGACCGTTCGGCATGGCTTTCCCGCATAGGCCCTTTCAAAGCTCCAGGCCCGTGGAACATCAGGCTCAGTAACTAAGATTAATGATGTGGATCAACTGGCCATGTCTCCTGGCCAAACAACACCAGGAGAAGGGCAGAGGGACACATCCCACCCCAGAGGGCACATCTGCACCATCCCAGCACCCTTTTACTGCACTCAACACAGACTTACGCAGCATCCAGTTCAGTTCACCCTTCAAACACATATTTGGCTCCTGCTGTATACCAGGTACTGCATTGAGCACTGAGGATCCAGAAAGAAATAAAGCAGGCCTTTGCTTTCAGGGGGCATCCAGTCTTTCAGACGTTATGGGCATGGCCTTGAGAAAAGGTGCGGGCCACAGCTGTGGGCAGAAATACCTCCGGGGCCTCCCGGTTGACGCTCAAGGTGGGTCTCAAGGCAGGAGGAGCTAGTCTGGTGGAAAGTGAGAGGAGGGCGTCCAGGCGGAAGCCCTGCACATGCTCTGACAGACGTCTGTGTTGATCCCACCCTGGTGACCCAGTACTGGGTGGGGAGGGGACTTGCCTGATTCACCGCCAGGCCCTGGCCCAGGGACTGGGGCCCAGGGGGAGGACTAGGGGAGGGAGCTGATGCAGCCCCTAAACCAGGCTGGAATCCGCATGATCTCCAGCTCACGGACTCCTACTCATCCTTCAAAACTGGGTCTGGTTACCAGAAAGACCTGTCCCGTCCACCAACCCAGCATGGCACCTTCAGCCTCCTCCCAGGGTACCCAGGATGGTGGGAAGGCAAGGGTGGTAGGCCTGGGCACCAAGGCGGGGAAGGTTAGGGTATTTGGGAGTGGCGGGCTAGATCAGCTGCAGGTCCCCAGGGTCGCCAGGGCCACTATGCCCCCCTTGGGGTGTTGCGGCCACGACTTCAGCCTGGGCCTCACCCTCACCCCGGC